AAAAATAAAGGGGAAAATGTTTTTGCAGTTATTGCAGATAAGTTATCTGCATTTATTCCCAAAACGACGTCGTTTTGGTATTGAAGTCTTAAAAAATTATAAATATAAAGACTATTATAACCCTAAAATAAATTAAAATTACAAAAATACCATGATTTCTGCCCCCAAACGACATCGTATTGAACTTACTGCAGATAACTTATCTGCAGTAACTGCAGAAAAAACAAACCCTTTTATAGGAAAAATGTTTCCGCAGTTAATGCAGAGAAGTTATCTGCATTTATTCTCAAAACGACGTCGTTTTGGTATTGAAATCTTAAAAAATTATAAATATAAAGACTATTATAACCTTAAAATAAATTAAAATTACAAAAACATCATGATTTATGTCCCAAAACGACGTCGTATTGACTTACTGCAGATAACTTATCTGCAGTAACTGTAGAAAAAACGAACCCTTTATTTATTTATTGTATCTCTTCTACAAGTAAAGTTTCAAAGGTTAAATTAAAGCCTTGTCTTCATCAGTTTGCTTATCATTTTGTTCAACTACTTATGCGTGTGTAACTTGACATTTTTTAAAAAAAATATATATCATTTTAACCTTTTTTAAAATTACACTTTTTTAAAAAATTGCTATCTGAACGCAAAAAATGGGTTAAAAGAACTTGAAAAACATAAAAAAATAAAATAAAAAAAAAAACAGCTTGTTACGAAAAAACCCATCTAAACACCCGCTTATCAATTAAGTAAGATATGTCATGCACCCGAGGCTGGTATATTCAACTATATGTAAATATTATAAATTTTCTTAAAAGAGCATGCGTTCCGATATGTAAAAAACTCCATTTTACTTTAGCTAGAAAACAAGCATAAGATTCTTTCTTGCACAAGTATAAAAACTAGAAAGGTTGCTTATATCCGCTTCTAAAAGTAAAAGTTGATAATGGAATAAGACACAATATATAAATTAATACATGGCCAATTTGTAGGCTTATATTAATACAACTGCATATATTTTTATTCTTTTTCTTTCTTAAATCTTATTGAACGAATAAATAAAAGTTAATATGACAAATAATTAAATATACTATGAAAGCATTTGTGATGTCCTTGCTAATTTTCTTTTCTCTTATAGCCATCGTCAAATTTTAAATAATTACATAGCTTATTTTTTTATTGAAATATTCCATATCTTATTAAACAATGGAAAATTAAACAAAACGGCTTCTTAGCACTTATACTATCTGTCTACAAAAAACTATAACTTAAATTCCATTTATGGCTGTATGAATGTTCTTCAGATATAGCAGTCCGTGAATGAAAGAAATCTGGCCGTAACCCTTTCTCAAACAAAAAGGTACACCATTTTTTTATTTGCATCTGCCACTTACGTGACATGCAGATTACCTCTTATTCCATGTCCTTAATTAAATATACATTTATATCTATAATAAGACAGTAAAGTAATACTGTTTAATTAGTCCCCTCGATCTTCGGGATCATCTGGGGATTTTAAAATCAAATCCACCAATATTAATATATTATCCCCACTTTAAATTATTTAACAATATTCTACGTCCACGAATTTGAATCAAACTCAATATACGTGTCATTAATTTCTCTCTTTTTTTGTAATGGTTTAGAGAGGGGATGCATTTAGTAGAAACAAGATGAAAATAATATTTTTCAATAAAGTATATCATACAATTTAAAGCATATGGTCCTAAGATTATTTCATTGCTTCGTTTGTATGCAAAAAGGGTATGCCATGAGGGATTTGTAAACAGAAATAAGTGGAAATGAGTGTGGGCATTTACAACCCCACATGTAAATTATGTGCCTGCATTAGGGACAGGTGCAGGAGCATTAGGGGCCCCCAATCCAAAAATCTGCAATCTATTCTCCAAAAATTAAAATGATTATAATCGAACCGTCCATGCGAGATCAGACGGCCAGCATCAACAGTGGACAACAACGGGTATAAGCGAGATTCCAACCATCCATTTGACAATAATGGGCATTAGATTAGAGGTCCCATCATCATTTCTCAATCTTTATTTGATTTACCACATATCATTGTAGGTGGAGGGGACGGTGACCACATCCAGTTAATACAAATTAAAGTAGTTTTACATGTTCAAGTAACGTAAACAATACATAATTAGTTCAACAGTTTTGGTCAGATAAATGGAGGGCCACGTGTACGGAAAAAAACTTTAACGTAATAAGTGTATTGAATTTGGTTTTTCCTTTTTATTAAAAAGGGAATTTTTTTGGAATTTAATGAAAAAATATTTAACAAATATGGTTTAAAAAAAAAATAAAAATTTTTTTAATAAAAAAAACATCGAATTCGATGCTCCTAATGCATTGAAATTTTTGTACTCATATTTATATATTTAAAGGAATACAGAAGGATAGATTATTTTATTTATTATTTTTTTGGTTTATTTTTGTCTATTATTCTAAAACACAATTAGATCAGAATTTTAATTAACATTTATCTTTCTATCTCTTTTTTAGATTCTGATCTAACGGCGTTGAAGGATAGTAGACAAAAATAGACAAAAAAGTAGTAGATAAAATAATCTATCCTAATAAACAAATCGATATACAGAAAAAATGTGCGTAGCACTCGGTAGTACGTAGCACTAAGCGATTGAGAGAAATTTTCACGGTAGGAACTTCAGTAACGGAAAGACCAAACATTCAGGAAAACAAAGAGGACAAGAAACAAAAGTCGCGGATTCTTACCATGTCACATATCTCTATTGTTCTTATTTCTTTTTAATTTTATTTTTTAAAAACTTTCGGTAATTGGGTTCTAGTTCTTCATATTTGACCCCGCGTTTTCTAAGGGAACGTTTGGTTGAGGAGAAATTTTACGAATAATAGAGAAATGATATACATAAGAAAATAGTTGGAAAATGAGTTTGGTAAGAAAATGTAAAAAAAATTATTTGGTACCGTAAAATATTAGTGGAGAAATTGGATTAAATATATTGAATGTATGTTTGGTTGAAAATAAAAATTTAATGGGAAAATGGATGAAATTTACGAAAGTAACCATTTTTAAAAAATTTTGAACCATTAAGAACATATATCACATAGAGGTATTAATGTCACTCTCTTCACCCACTTTTTTCGATTCTCGGATTCTGACAGAAATACCACGTTAGAATAAGCATTCGTCAACAGTGTTTTTTTCCTTTTTAACACACATTTCTACTTAAATAGACAAATGTGTTTGATAGATAAAAGTTATAAAATCTTTCAACCAAACAAAGGAGAACAAAGATTACCACATGCACTAGCAAATTTTGAGAATTCTTGAACCAAATACAGCCTAATTATGGTGATAGGATAATCTATTTTCCCTTACTTTCGTGTGCGCGTGTTTGTGGCATTCAATATACAGAACTTCCGATAAATGTAACCACAATAAAACTTTTAATTAAAATTAAAATTTGAATTCAGAAAGGATAACTGAGGGCCCATGTTGTTCCCATTAAAGGACTCAGAAAATTGTCTAGCACAATTTTTTTTAATTAAAATATAAAAAACAATAAGGTTATACTGCTATATATTATTACGTATCTAGAGAAATCGCAACAACCAACAACACCCCTCCCCCATTTTCTTTCAGAATTGGTCATCATAATAAATAAATATACTATTTATATCATTAAAATGAGATTCCAAGTTTCAAGTTTTAAATGAGGTTAAAATATTTTTAGGAAGTGAATTATATGCATACATATTACGTGTAGACCTGGAAGACGAGAGAAACGGAGTGTACATGTTTGGCTATATTATATAGTATAGGGGGCAAATACAGACCATAGGTATATGAAAAAGGAAAAAGCATATAAATATTACACGTATAAATGACAAGGACCGCTATATATTCTACAAGCCAAGTTGATTATTTTGAAGATTTTAAATTTGAATTATTTTTGAAAAGCGACGAGAGGGCCCTTCCAAATAATAATAATAAAAAGCTAAAGCTTTCGTTCCCATTTAGTTTCTAGTTTGGATTGTTGGAGCGAACTTATACGTTGTTCAACTGATTCAGCAATTTAGCATATAGATGAATCATAAGAGCAAGAAAGATGTTACCACAAAACAATCATCTCATGTATCCAAAAAAAAAAAAGAAAACAATCATCTCAAAGTAGAATATATTAGGCTTACACGATAAATATCATGATTTTTCCACATCTTTTAGCAGAGGAATACTGTGAAAGATTCCCTCAGCTTTTATTTATATATATATATATATATATATATATATATATATATATATATATATATATTTGGTATTATTTTTCTACTATTTATTTATAAATAACTGTTTCTGACTAGGTCAAATCTATTGGACAAATAAGTTCACACATTTCTTCGTTTTTTTGTTATGAATATTATTGGTGGGTATATAAAGCTTGATGGTTTAACTTTACCGCCAAAAGAATTAATTTCTTTTTATGTGCATAAATCATTAAATCTAGATAGGGTTTTATAAGAGTTATGTTGTAGGAAAAGTGATTGTGTAATGTTATAGAGATTCGTTTTGCGTGCCATAATTTTTTATTTATTTTTTTGTTTTAAAAAGTGTGGACCCTACAAAATGTTGTGAGTGTAGGAAAATTTGTTGTGTTATGTTAAAGGATAAAATGAAAATCCATCTAGATATTATATATGAACGTATTTGTATTCGATTCGTTTAGGAAAGCTAAATATGGTGGTTGTCTTTATGCAATTCAACAACTACCACCACTGCCCACCTCATTATCCCTCCTTTCCCTCCCAAAAAAAAAAATCTATCATGGAGATCTTTTTAATATTTTTTTAATAAAAAAGTACTATTAATTAATAATACAATTAATTAAGTAATTAATATCTTCCCATAATAACCTCACTTCGTTTCTCCATTTCACATTACAAATCAAAACACCACAACTCTTAATATACTTTGACCTATTGAAGCCTGCCATCACCACCTCCCATGGCTACCCCACTCTGATCTTTTCCCAGATGAAACCCCATCTTTTCAGAGAAAGAAAATGCTAGAGAACCATCCTTTTCTTCTCCCCCGGCCCCCCCTCCCGTTCTCTCTCTCTCTCTCTCACACGCACACACACAAACACACACACTTTCTGTTCCTTTTTTCTATTTCACTTGTGAAACCCTAATACAGAGGATCCCTCTCTCAATTTCACAAGTAATCCAAAATCCATGACAAAGAGGTAAGAGGAGTCATCATATTATAGAGTTCTCTCTTACACTCCAAACTCACAAGTCACAACCCAAACAGTGTAACTTAAGTTTGTTTACACATCTTCTCTGCAATTGCTAGTATTAAATACACACACGATCATCCGTGTGCTGTTCATTCTCTTGTTTACGTATATATATCTATCCTTTTCCTTTTGTTCAAAGACAAATTAAGTAAAAGTGAGGCAAGGCACTGTACGGGTTTGTGCAGATCAGAGACTTGAAGACGTGGGTGTGGCTACTTTTCCTAAGAAAGAAAAAAAAAAAACTAGCTTTCTTTAATTTCTTCCATAATCAGAACCAGAAACTCCCCCTTCTCTTATGTTATTTTTGGTTTTTCTCTTTGTCCCATACCCCTACCTCATTTTGTAGCTTCCTCTTAAATATGGGGTATGTGTGTAAGTAACAAAATCTCTCTGCACCCAACACATCGCTTTCTCATCCCTTACGTCTTTCCATTTTTTGCTCTCATATGGATTCGGGAAACAGTGGGAGTATGCAATCCTCAAGTGGTGGTGATGAAGAGTACGATTCACGCGCCGAATCAAACATCTCTGCGTTCTTGAACAATAACCCACCACCACAACAACAACAACAACAACAAAGCCATGTTGGTTCCTTCCATCATCTAAACCCACCACAACACCACCACCACATCCATATGTTCGACCCTTTATCCAATTACTTGGATCCAATACAAAGACCGACATCACAATATCCCAACACAAACTCACTTCTAAACCTCGACATGGTGTGGTCCAAAGCTGCTAGATCCGAACCAAACCAAACCAATCTTGGTTCCTTGATACCTTGTTCATCCTCTCAACAGAACCAAGGTTTTCTCTTAAGTCAATTGGCAGGTCAAACAAGAGGCGTTAACGTTGGTGCTTTTCCCACCACACAACACTCACTACTACCCCAAGAAAGTGTTTCACGAGGTGGATTAATTTCGGTTTCAGCCACCAATGATCAAGCTCATAACAACAGCACCAACACCAACACCAACACAAGCATGGTTCGAAACCCAAAGAAAAGGTCAAGAGCTTCTAGGCGTGCACCAACTACTGTGCTCACTACTGACACCACAAATTTCCGAGCCATGGTTCAGGAATTCACTGGTATCCCAGCACCACCCTTCCCCTCTTCTTCGTCTTTCCCAAGGACCAGGTTGGATCTCTTTGGTTCTGTTGCTACTTCAGCTTTAAGATCCGTGTCCACCCATTTGGAACCTCCACCACCACCTTATCTTCTTCGCCCTTTTGCACAGAAAGTTCATCCTTTTCAACCTTCCTCTAATCCCATGGTGGACACTTTAGCATCTAATAATTCAACAACCAATAACACTTCTACTAATTCAACCTCCATTAACTACCAACAGCAGCAGCAGCATCTCAGCGTGAACAACAACAACAGCAACATGCACAACCCAATTCTCAGCTTCCAATCATTCCTTCAACCACCACCAAAGTACCCTCTTGGGAATTCTTCTGTTCTTGCCTCTAAAACTCAACCATCCTCCTTGGAAATCACGCCCAATGTTGATCATTCGCATCTGAAGATGGGTGTCTTGGATGAATTAGGATTAATGAGACATGCGCAAGTTAACACCAACGTTGGTTGTCTTCATCAGAACATGGTTCCGTCTTCATCGGATGGAGCATTGTCGATGGTCAACAACAACAACAACATGAGGAATCCTTCAGCGGAATGGGCCCAAAGAACGAGCACCATTACCAACAACGATGGTGATCAAGGAGGAGTTTTGAGATCTCTTAATGGCATTGTCAACTACAGTAGTAGTAATATCCAAGAGCGAGTATCAAATGGCAAAGTAAACTTCTCGGCTTCTCCATCAGATTTTCATGGAGAGAAGGGACCAGAGTGTGTTGTGGCTGCAAGAAGCGAAGGTATGGTGGAATCATGGATTAATTGTTCTTCTGATTAGGAACGATCAAATGGAAAAAAGAATAAGAAAAAAGAAAAAAAAGAGGAGATTCATATATATAATTTCATTAGTACAACACTAATGCATGAAAGAGAGAATCTTGGTATCCTCATCTTAACCATGACCATCAAATTAATTAAACACTTTTTTTATTTTTTATTTTCTTGTCTTTCTCTCTTTCTCTACTTTTTCTTTTTTTTTGCCTTAAAATTCTAATTGTGCTTTTAATCATATTATACAGCCATATAAAGAAACCTGGAGGTTTCAATGTTTATTACATAATTTGTGTCTATGATATATTAGACATATACAATGGCACCAGTTTGTATCATATTATTAATATATATGGATTTTGGTTTTGACTTGTGTGCGATTATAATCCAGAGAATGTACAATGTGCAGCATAGATTGAACAACACAGACAAACCCGTATGTATCTTCGTGTTCCTGTCGCACCTTCTATTCTGGGTTTACCTCTAATGTCTGCTTTCTTACACCCTCCACTACTCTATTGTTCTTCTTCTACATTTTTTTTTTAATTTTTTAATTAACGTCAATTATAAAATTGCAGATTCTAGGAGAAATTGGTGGCAAGATTTGGGGAATTGTTAGCCGCCGCAATCTCGTTTTATCAAAATCAAAGATATGTTAATGTGTATTTTAAACATATCAAATTATACCTATATATAAAACACGCAAATCTCGACACGCCTTTTATAGTATTCTTTATTACATATCTTTTGTTATTTAATTACGTTTCATATTTATTTTAAAATCATTTTCTAATTATCAAGCAAAACGTAACTCATTAATTAAAAAATATTAAAAAATAAAAAAATGTCTCAGTTATATTTATCATAAAAAAATTGGTGGGGTGCGTATGTAACGTGCTTCTGGCTCCAAACATTCACACCTTTTTTTAATAGTTGTTTTAAAAAATGTAAATTATTCTCTTCATTTGTAAATAGCATCTATGATTTTTAGTTTAAACTCTCAATATATGATAAATTAATCTGTTGTTTTAATTAACTTTAGTAATTAATCTCATGTAATTAATTGTAATGTATTAAATAAATTATCAAATTTAAAATTGATATTACTTGTTATATACGAAAGATTAAGTATATTAATTATAAATACTATTGGTCAAATTAATGATTATAATTAAGGGCACTAATTTACATTTTATTTTATTTTATTTTTGTAAAAAGAGTAGACACAACCTTTAGCACAAATAATTCAAGCATGTTCATCCACGACGTAAACTTTTTTTTTTATATAATATTTATTACTTTGACTTTTTAATAGATTTTAGGTATATTAGAGGCATACATTATTTATACTGGCGGGAGAATATGTAGCCAATGATGTGCCAAAATAAAATCCCGATGCTTCGATGATGTGATTACCAAAATAAAAATAAAAATGGCGATGTGGCCATTTCAACCAATAATCAAGGCATTTAAAATATTATTGGCTAAAAAATGATAATGCAAAAAGTGTCCATTGATTTAGCTATCCATCATTTCGATTTCGCACCATACGCTTCGTCTGAAGGAAAGAGAAAAGAAAAGTGGTGCGCGTGCATGCTCTATTACACTCTATGAATAAGACTTTTTATCTTGATGGATTTAATGCATGAGCCATGTGGAAAGTCTACAATGTGGTTTTAAATTAAAAGTGATAATTGTAGGTCGATACTCGACACCACTCAATGGAACATTGATGGTGTGCTTGATTTGTTCGCGTATAGAGTTAGTTGGAGTCCAGGACCTTAATTAATCTCTCTAGTTAAAATAATTGAGTTCGAAAATCAATAATCTTTTTAATGCATGGATTCAATTTGGAAAAATCAAAGTCAAAAGACTATTTCGGCTAGCTAGCTAGCGTCGTGTGATATGTCTCCACATGGTTGTCCTCCTACTCCGATCCAAGACAGAAAAGGGAAAATTCCATTATCAAATAATCAAAGAAAATAATTTCACAGCTGTTTTTTGAAATTTATTGTTCACATTTCAGAAGAGAACAAAAGAATGGCCAAAATATCAGCAAAAGGGGTGAAGGAGCATATTGTTCCCACTCCCTTATTTATAATAGTAAAATGTGGAACTCACGTAATATTCACTATAAAGAGATTGAATAATTTTTAAGTAATTTTTTTTTTTACAAGTGATGTAGGGAATATTTAATATTACGAAACTACTAAAAATATTTTTGGGTTGAAGAGAGAGCAACACCGAATTATTTTTTTAAAGCTATTGACAGCTACCTATGTAAACATTGAGCAGCACATGCCCAAAGCTTGATTACCATTATTAGTTCAAGCTGAAGCGCTTTTTATATTAATATACCAATGTCTACCCCACGTCCCCGCTCCATATATGGCACATTTAAATCGATCAGAGTGAGGAAATAAGGTATTGAAAGAGAATACGTGATATATATATATAGTTCACTTTTTCTGCAGCAGATAAGTTATCTGTAATTAGCCTAATACAATGTTGTTTTGGGCCATAAATCATGGTGTTTTTGTAATTTTAATTTATTTCAGGGTTATTATAGTCTTTATAATTATAATTTTTTAATTTTTCAATCCCAAAACGACGTCATTTTGGGAGTAAATGCATATAATTTATCTGCAGTAACTACATAAATATTTTTCTTATATATATATATATATATCTGAATTTCATCTTTTTGTCCAACATCATTGTGACAAAAGAAGCCCTTAATATAAATGTTAACACAACGCAGCCAATCATATAATGTCCAATTTTGAAAATTTCTGAAACATTTGCCTAAAAAGAAGAGGATTGAAATTATGGAAAGGTCTTCTCTTCAAGCACTCCTCAGCTGGAATCTTTATAATTTGTGAAGTTAAAGTGGCTTGTCTTTGCCTGAAACGGCTGGCCGGGGGATATTATCAATCCAAAAGTTAGTAACCTTTTTCATTTCATTGATTGATGGATCATGATCTTTTATCATTTCAACTTTGGGTTTAAAATTAGAATGATGAGACAAGAGAGGGAGATGTATGGGATGGCATTCAAAAAAATTTGAATCTTTTTATTGTAAAGGTGAGACCCATGAATCATAGAAAAGCATGGAGATTACTTTCACAAAAGGGGTATACTTTTTTACATTAACCTTTTATAAAAATGAAAGACTTGTCGTAATTTAAATTAAACTCAAATGATTAGGCATCGGATTTTGGGAGATTTGTTAGGGGCAGGCCTTCTGTTGGATTGGATGCCGTGACCTTTGACATTTCATTTAGGGCCCATGCCAATGAACAAACCTTTCACTCCCTCCTTAGCAATGATGGCTTTTCTCTCATCACTCACTTTGCAAAAGACCTTTCTCTTTCTTTTCTTTTTTTCTTTTTTTTTGAGATTATTCCTCGATAATCCTATAAATTATATATGAACTAATTCGGAGATCGAAACAAGTTCAGTATTAAAGGTTAAATTTTTCTCAAAAATAATAAACTTTTACCTCACCTGCTCAGCACTTAAGCACCAATTAAAATCTTTTATCTTAAACGCGCACAAACACACATGGCCCTACAATTTTGAGCCTAAGCTCAAAAAGATGAACAGCTTTTGGCATCCTCACGAAAAAGGCTGCACTATTTTTCCCTCTTGGCTTGAACCCATTCCTTCACAGGGAAAAGCATGAATTCATTACCCAGTGACAGAAAAAGACAAAGCACACAATATCATTTGAATTACATAAACATAATGTCTTGTCCTACAAATCTAGTTTTAGATTTCCTTACTCGTGACTCCAAGCATTTAACTAAGGAATTTACACCTTTCGGCTTTAGATCCCTACGATTGGGGAATATGCGCACAAACTGTGCTGTGATACACTATGCGGGTTCATTTATTCATATATTCTTCGTTAAGCACACTATCTGATATATATGTTAAAACAATCTCCTCCGGTACATTATTTTGTCCTAAATTTTCATCCCTTTTTTTTGTTCCTTTCAGGATTCTAGCAAGACAAATAGCATATATATATGTTCAGTCCAGCCTCTAAAGTTTATTTGATGGATCGAATTGATGCACCGCAGATTTTCATGTTTAGAACATTCCTGAACTACTCCACTGTTGATGGAAATAAGTTAAAGTAAGGTGGCCCCAATCCCGTTTTAATTTACTCATGAAATCCATTTTTAGTCATTTGCCAAACGTTTATTTTTGTTTTTGTCACATATAGAAGAAGATAAAATTACTTCTTATCCTATAGGATACTAAGATTTTGAACTTTTGGAAGTGGAAATTGTATCAATGTGAGTTACTGATACTAGCCGATGGTATAGGATACCGGTATTTAATCTCACATAAACTTTTATTTACATGTTTTATTAATTATTAATTATTAATTAATAAAATTACATTAACAATTATCAATTTATACTAATAAGAAATTAATCACTAATTACTCACTCCCCCACATATAATTAATCACTAATAACCAATTATAAGTACCTTCGTCTCCGTATTCACACCCCTTGCAATTTTGGTGAAAGTTAAAAGCCTATTGGTTGAAGATTTATTTTGAGATTAATGGGAAAGTGTAAGTGGGTATTGAAAAATATCACCTTTGGTTCAGGTTTTTAAAAAAAATACTAGACAAATAGGATGGATGGGGATTGACTTTTGTGTTGATTTTTGGATGAAATTCACTGTTACAAAATGGTCAGTTGAGATGTGGTAGTTTGAGTTAACTGGGGAAGTGAAAAAACATGTGCGAAGTTTCTCCCGAACATAGATTTTGCAAATTTAAATAAATTTTTCTGGTAATATTTCGGTCAACCAAACAACTTTTTTTACATTTTCGTATCAAACTCACTTTGTAACCATTTTCCTAGTAATTACATTTCCTTAGTATTTAAAAAATTTCTCCTCAACCAAACGCCCCCTTAGAGATAATAGCTAATTGCGTAAAAGTGGTGAAGGCAACTTTAAATTTATAAAAAGGCCAAAGATAGAAAATGTATGCCTAAATTATATGTTTTAAGAAAATTTGAAGTAATGACAATAAGGATCGATCTCAAAAAAGCACATGATAAGCTCAATTGAAATTTCATTCAGAATACTATCAACGACATGAAGTTGCCTTCATACTTAGTCCATCTGATAATGCAAGTAGTATGTTCTCCTACCATCAATGTTCTTTTGGAATAGAGAGATGACTAGCAATTTCAAACCAATAGGGGAAGCGAGACAATGTGATCCACTCCCACTATATTTGTTCATTAAGGGAACGAAAAAACTTCTTCACATTATTAACATTGTAGGATTGTGGAAGTCAATCCGAGCTGGCCGAAATGGTCCAAAGGTTGAGACAAAGCTAAATCTGGGGGATAAGCTAAATCAACATCAGCTTCATCTCATTAGTTAAGACACTATTAAAAAGCTAAAAGTTATTGAAAGGCTGGGAATCAAGAAACTCTCGACTGTGAATGATGCTTTCCTTGCAAAGCTTGCTTGGAAAATCCACATGTGAGTAAGATGCTTTATGGGTGGAAGTCATCAGAAATAAGTATTGCAATAGTAAAAGGGGAACTAATATATTTACCACCAGACTAAGGGATTCCGGTTTATGGACAAATATATGTTGAATGTGTAATAATGCCTTTGAAGAAAATAGAGAAATTGTGTATGGTACCCATGTAAGATTTTGGCAG